TTTGAGGGACATATTCACTCCAATTTTCTGGAAGTAGTGCAACATCTTGTTCACAAGAGCGGGGTAATTGTGTGCTTGCGTACTTCCCAAAAAATATCGTATGACTTTCTTCACTGCCCTCCACGCAAAGTAATCATTACCGTCTAAAGCACCTTTAAATTCCTTTGATTTCATGAGCTTTCGTATACCCGGCCCATTCAGAACACCTTCCTTCAATTTTGCTTCGCTGATTGGTGGGAAAATATTTTTCAAACAATCAAGAATTTTCGGTTGCTTCACAATGGCCTTGATGAAATTTTTTACGATTCCCAGTTTGATATGGAGAGGGGGCATGAGGACGTTCTCCATTGGCACCAGTNGCACCAGTGGATCATATACACAGTTGTGTCCTTTCTCCGTTGGATCTCGAGCAAGCCAGTCATGCGTTTCGTATTGGTTTCCTTTAAATCGGGTATCCCAAAGACACAAGAAACACATGTTTTTCGTATAGCCTCCTTGGAGACCTCTTAGCATCGCCACGACTTTCAGATCACAACTGATCCGCCACATGTGATCAGTGTAGCAAACTTTATCCAAAATTATTTTCATGGAATCGTATGTTTCGCTCATGTCTGTGCTGTAGCCAATGGGAATGCTTGGTTTTTTATTATATTTATGTAGCAAAACGACTTTCAGGCTTGATTTCGAAGAATCGATGAACATTCGCCAATCAGCTGCGACATAATTAATGGCCATCGCCTCCATCAGTCCCTTTATATCGTGGCAGTAAACAAATGTGTTTCCTTCGTTCAGTGGAATAGCAATTGTCGTCTTCGATATCCGGTGACTTTGACATTAGGCTCCAAATTGTTGCCTTCTTTCAAAAGCTGGGCAAGTTTTTCTGCTTCACGTTGAGAAAGGTTTAATTCTGCAACAATCTTGTCCATTCTTGCTTGTGATATTGGAATTATTTTGTTCGATGGGCCGGCTTCTGGTGTTGGTTTATAGGTGAAATCCGATTGATCCATTGTTTCAATAGAAAAAGAAGTTTCTGTCAGGACTTGGAAGCGGTGGAATTGGTATTTCATCCGAATGCGGTNGCAAAACGATGTGAACTGCGTTTCCCTTGGATCCACATGTTAAGACCATTGTAGCACGTTTTA